TCATTAAGATGATTTTGGCTGCAAGCTGCAGAAAATTGAAATCAAATTAGCTTAAAATATGAGAGCGCACATGTCCTTTTGAAGTCCAGGGGTAGGCTTGACTCCTGGCAAGGCTTGATCCAGAAGCTCAGCATGACACCAGTGACTGCATATTTTTCTTTCTCTCCTTTCCATTTTCCCTGGCACCAGCTCCATCCTAAGGCTATGCCACATGTGACCTCAAGATGGTCTCCACGAACAAGTAGAAGGGAACTAGGTGCCATCTCATCCACGTCCAACAGGAGAGAGGGGCTCTTTCTTTCTCCCAACTCTAGAAACCAAGTCCTAGACTTCACTGTGATTGGACAAATGTAGGTTGCATGCCTCTTTTGGAATCGAGTGAGGTTATATTGGTGCACAAATCTTGGTTTAGATGTATCAGGATCTGCTCATAGCGCTGGGGCTGGGGTCCATCCCACCCAATCTGTGGGGTGCCGGGAAGGCAGCCGGCACAGGTCCGTATAATTGTCACAACTTCCCAGATAAGGGATCACCCCACCTTTGCTTAAACTGCTTGAATGTAAATATCTGGAGAATGTGCCTCTGATTCCCAAGATTTATAAAGAAAAAACGGGTTCTACAGATGCAAACTTTTGTAACTAGGCAGATGTGTCTTGGTTTTAGAAACTTCCAAAGGAGCTGTTCTGCAGGAAGGGTCCGAGTCAAGTCTCCTCCTTGCACACTCGTTCCTCCTTCCCTTGTTTTATAGGTGTCTCTTTGCAACTTTTCCTTCTTCTTTCTTACCATCCAATTGTGATGTATCCCAGTACTATGTGAGGTATATAGTAGCTGCTGAAGTCTGCTTTTGGGACACAAAAGGGCCTTTGACGTTGGGTCTGAGCAGAGGAGATTGGGTGGGGCCAGGCATGGGCCACACATGGTAGGTAGAGGGAGGACTGAAAGGCGGCACCGAGGGGCAGCCAGGGCAGAAGCCAGGGGGAAGGCTGAGGGTTGGGCATGGAGGTGTTGGTCAGGGGAGGCCATGCATGGACCTGGAGACCCAGCTATAAGTGGACTTCAGTCAGGTTCTAGAACATTCCCAGGGCTGCTGGACATGGTGTAGGGCATCTGCAGCCTGGCCTGGGAGACTTTCTGGCCAGGAGTTACACTGTGCTCCTTTGGAAGTTTTTGATAAGGTTCAAAGGACCAGGAGGTCTTGGAAACCTGGAGGGGACTCAGGGATCAACTTCTCTGCTGGCTTTCCAGCTGTGGGCTCTGTGATCCAATGGGGGAGATACTTCTCTGTTCAAGTTTCTTTACCACATGTTGGGATGCATTAGCTGAGAGTTAGGAGTTGATCTCTGGGGTCAGTTCTACAAGCTGTATGCTCTCCTTTGTGAAGAGTTAATTGTTAACTCAAGAGTGAACTGTTGACAGCATTAGGTGCGACCTCCTACCGGGTTATTTGCATTTTATAATGCACTCCTAGGAGACCAGAATTCCTAGAGGGCCCTAAAAGAAATGAGCCTTAATGGTGGTGGTGATGATGGTGGGGTGCCTGCTTGCGTGTGGGGGTGGGGTGGGGGAAGAGAGGGAGAAGAGCAGATAGTTTTGTTTCAAACTCCTCAACTCTGTCCCTGCTGTGCAGAGGGTGACGATTTTAATGAATCATCTCGGATGATTGGCCTTAGGCATACTCAGTGGGATGTGCAGCGGATCACTATTAACATTTTATCAGCCACAGTAGGGCTGTATGAGCTAACTGAAATGTCAGATATCCAGTCAGCATGGCTGTCATTTGATTAAATGAGATTCTGGATTCTGGGTTGGAAAATAATCAGATCGATGGGGCAGTAGATTAGGTGATGTCTCACGTTATTAGTAATAAGAGGTCATTGCTTTCCCTTCTGCCTTCTTGTTTTCTACCCCTTATCCTCACTGCAGAGCCCAGCCTGGGCTCAGCCTCCTTTCAGCTGGTGTTTGCCTGGCTGGTTGGCTGCTGGTATCCAAAACCTGGAAGAAACAAGAGCTTGCTAAACGGGGGGCTGATGTTTTCTCTCAGTATCTTTGTTTTGCGGATGAGACAATTGAGAAGTAGAGAAATCTACCCAGCCGCTAGTTCAGGCAGCTCCTGGATGTGTGAGGCTGAGAGCCACGGTCTCCTCTCTGGCCTGTGAGGTGGGTGGCGGTCAGGACAGGCTGAGCTTGCCCTCTGCTGCCCAGTGGGGTTCTCATCAGGCTGCATTCCTCCTGCAGCTCTCAGACCTCTGGCCGAGCTAGAGAGTGCAAGGGTGAAGACACTCCTTCTCCTCCCAGCATCTCTTGCACTTCCTTTTTCAGAAGTGAATAGCGTGAGGTTGTCATCTCGCAGGAAATTACCAACAGTATTTGTTGACCACCAAGGCATTCTAGCTTTCCAGTAAAAATGGGGATGTTGGAAAACATATCCACCATCGTGAACTTGATGGCTTCCCAGTACTTAGCAACTTTTTGGATGAGGCTGGTAGAGATGTTATTTAATGTAGCTTTTTTTTTTTTTTGGTAGTGTGTAATGAAATACATCTCTATCTGGAAGGTTTGCATAACACTATGAAATATATTTCTCAAATGCCCAGTGAATGTCATGAAATTATACACGGGCAAGGATCTATCCAAAGACCTTTGGTACCAAAGACCATTGGTACAGTTGATTTTGTCATACAATGGACAAACAGCTCATCTGTATAGTTTTGGATCCAGTGTCGCAGAGGGAATTCAAGAAACTATTTGAGTTTTAGTGTAGCCTGAAATAAGACTATATAAAGTTATGTGCAAAGATCATTAGAATAATATTATTTTCCCAACTATGTGTCTTCATATACATCAACCAAAATAATATGACAGGTAGAATAAAGAAGCCAATGTGAGAATCCAGTTATCTTTCATCAAGCAAGACATTAAAAAGATTTGGAAAAATGAAAACAGCAACACTATTTTTCTCCTCACCAAATTATTTGTTTGGGGAAATATAGTTATTTTTTCATAAAAGTGTTATTTATGTTGAGATGCAATTAGCTTAAAATTGTTACTTATAAATGTCTTAACAAACCTTTTAAAACTTTCTCAGCTTTGTTTTCTAACACGATAAATATTGATAGATACAGCAAATGTAAACAAAAGCTAAGGTTCTAAATTATTTTTAAGAGCAAAAAAAAAAATCCACCTATCTGCTAGAAAAGTTTGAATTGCTAATCTAGAATATACAAATAATCTCTACAAATCAATAATAAGAAAGGACCCTAAAATAAAAGATAGGCAAAGGCTACAAATAGGTAGATTATAGAAAAAGAAGACAAATTATGACAGATCGCTTGAACTCATTGGTGTTAGTCAGAGAAATGCAAAAACTGTGATCCTTTTCAAAGGGGTGCTGAGTATTGAGTCCAGGGTCTCCAGCATGCTAGGCAGGCCCTGCATTGCTGAGCTATACTCTGCCTCAACATTTCCTTATATCTACTGTGTTGGCAAAGGGGAGAAAGTCAAATAATAGCAAGGGGAGGTGAGGCCTCAAGGATAGAAAAATTCTTCTGGGCTGCTGGGTGTGAGAAAAGCATGGCATTTTGGAAAGAAATCTAAAAGTAGTCATTTCAATTAGATATGCAGTCTCGGTGGCACAGCACTCCCACTTTTGAGTATATAGACAGAAGAAGTCGTCACACTCATGTCATCTGGAATGTGTGCAGGTGCTATCGCAGCTCTGCGGTGGCAGGTCTTCTGGTTGGCCACCACCACGAGGAGACTGGGGATGTGGAAATTCACACCGCCAGATGTACACATGCTGGAGTGCAGCACAGTGCAAACCCTGCCAGAAGTAAGTGAGGAGAAGTGATGCATGATACAATGGCATTTATGAACATTAAAAACAGAGTTAAACAGAGTAATTTGGCTTCGTAAGAACACAAACACATGCGAGTTCTCTGTTTCCTAGGGTTGCTAGAAAATACCACAAACTGGGTGATTTAAAACAACAGAAATTTATTCTCTCATAGTCATGGGAGGTTTAAAATCTGAAACTAAGGTTTTTACATGGTTGGCTCCTCCAGGAAGCTTCGAGGGAGATTTGACCAGTGCCTCTCTCCCAGCTCCTGGTGGTGACTGCCAATCCTTTGTTTGCAGAACACATCATTTCAGTCTCTGCCTCTACCTTCCTTCTCTGTCTGTCTGTGTCTCTCACTGCATTTACATTTCTCTTATTTAAATTTCTTCCTTCAGTCATATTTGATTTAGGGTTCACCTTAATCCAATGCAACCCAATCTTGACTTGATTATATTTTCAAAGACCATATTTCATGGGTACTGGGCAGACACGAACCTTTGGCAAAGCCATTCAAGTAAATGCATGCATCAAACATATACAGATGGTTGGCAACATGGGGAGGAAGAAGGAACAGGAACGTAAGATGGAGACAGCCATAAACAAGCAAGCAAAGTCTAAACAAGCAAGCAAGAGGTGACCTTGACATTCAAATCCACAACAGGAATATCCATGTTGGCTCTGGATTCAGAAAAACAACACTAGCAAAATAAAACTGAAATAGCAACAAGGACAAAACCCAAAAAATAGGCACAATGTCTCCTGGGGGTTCTGAACTATGACCTGGCCTTTCACATGGGGTTGGAGTTGGAATTTGTATCACCCAAGTTCTAAAAGGTCCCAAGTAGAAGATTAAATATAAAGTAGTAATGGTTTGACAGTATCTCTTGCCATTTGGTTTAAGTTTGTAAGTGTGTAAATAAATAAAAAAGTAAGTTAAATAAGTAAGTAAGTAAATAAATCAGAGTCTTCTTTGAAGAAAAAACTGTTAACTCAGGCCTCAGAGAAATTTTACATAAAAATTTTCCCCAAATTAGGAAAGGTAAAATAGAGTATACTGCACAGCCTAGTCAGCCTGGTGCTGCTAGACCTTATACTTGAATTTATCAACTTATGAAGTGAAGAGGTTTATTTTGGCTCACAGTTTGGGAGGTTCAGTTCACGATTAGTTTGCTCTGTTACTTCAGGCCTGTGGTGGCAACACGATGGCAGGAATGTGTGGTAGGGCAGAGCTGGGGTGGGGGGAAGGGAGAGAGGGAGGGAGAGGAAGGGGGGAGAGAGAGAGAGAGAAAGAGAGAGAGAGAGAGAGAGGGAGAGTGAGAAAATCACATACATTTTACCAAAATATTAGGACACAGAAACTTTAAAACATGTGAATGAAAAAAACGAATTACCAAACAGTTCATGAATACTCATTCTTGGAGCTGTATTAATGTTAAAGGATTTACCAGGGTAAACCCAGAATATAAGACTGATTCAAATCAGAAACTGATTAATGTTATCCATTACATTGAACAAATCAAAGGGGAGGAAAAGCAGAATTATTAAAATAAATGTAGGAAGGGCTGGGGAATATTCACACATGGTTTGTCCTATCTATTTCACTTCAGAGTATGGCCTCAACGTGCATCCATTTAGCTCTAAATGACTCTAGTTTCTCATTCTTGATGGCTGAGTAGTACTCCATTTTATAAAAAACACACATCTTCTTTATCCAAAACCAACTGATGGGCATTTGGGCTGTTTCCAAGATACAAACTGTTCTACTATAAACATAGGCATACATATAACCTCATTTAGGTTTTTAAGAATGATTTAAATAAATGAAAAGATATAATTTGAATTCCCCAAATTAATCTATAAAAATGGGAATTGGGCTTTCCTTTGGGCTATCTCAAAGTAGTTAAAAGTTTTTATTTTGAAAGAACAAGGAGCCAAGCACACCCAAGCCATTCTAAAAGAGGACTAACCTGGAGGATGTTTACCAGGTACAACGATTTAGGGGAAGCCAGAGCAGCTAATATATGTAATGTCCTCTTGCATGGGACCCTTGACCAAGTCCTCCCTGAAAAAGTCCCTTACCTTTTCTTGGCCACCTGTAGCAGTAAAACTCTCACTGCTCTGCCACCAACCACAGCACCAACCACAGGCCCCTGCCCCTCACCTCTCTCAGGTGGCAGTGAGCTGCCAATTCCATTGATACCAATGGCCCTCAAATTCTCCATGTTGGCTGGGGTTGCAACTCAGGGTAGCACCATGGCCTAGCGCGTGAGAGGCCCTGGAGTTGATCCTCAGTACCACACACAAACACCCACGAGTAAATTCCGCTAATGCTTTCGAAGCTCCCCGACTCAGCTTGAGGGAAAGGGACAGACACTGTAGGCCCATCTCCTGGAGAAAGCCCTGATCAATTCCACCAGAGAAACTTTCTCACTCTTGCTGCTTTCCAAAGCGATGGAGGTGCTGACCAGCTATGCTAGCAGAAGGCGTGGGGACTGCTCTGCATGCATATAACGGGGCACATGGCACCTTCTGTTGTCCTCAGCCTCTGGGACCTCTGCCAAAACTGAAATGCTGAGACACAAGGAAGAGTCGCATTGGATATCCTGTTCCAGTGATTCCTAAAATGGTTTGCTTTGTGACAAATGCGACCCGATCAATTCCTGCTGACTCTGTGTTCATCTGTGTTTCTGTTTCTGCTGTGTGTCTGTTGCTCAGTCAGAATGATTACTATTTATCAGGCATAGCATTGAGTTATAGAATCATGGGGTATTCTGGGCTTGTTGTCCTGGGGTGAGGAGGATTTGCCACTCCAGCCAAGGGCAGGGTGTGGGGGAGCAGGCCTGGGCTTGCAGTCCAGCACACATTCATTTGAATTTTGGCCTTAAGTAACCCAGCTAAGGAACTTGTGTTTCTTCTCTTACCTGAGTCTTGATTTCATTTGTGAAAATAAGAAAAATGATTTCTTCATACAGAGGCTGTGTTGAAAAAGGGCAAGGTGTGTGCGCGTGCGTATATGTGTGTGTGTGTGTGTGTGTGTGTGTGTGTGTGTGTGTTGTGCACACATGTGTTCATGCATTTGTGTCTGGAGCCTGTGTAACTCTTTCTCTTCCCTGCCTGGTAGACTGCAAATGAGTAGTATCAGATAACAATCATTGTAACAGGAGGGGAGCTGCTCAGGTAAAGTTATAAAGCAAGTTCCTCCCATCATTGTTTAACCATACCTGCCCAAGCTCACCTTCCCCTTTCCTGTTTGCTGGCAGCTGCTCTTCTTGGCACCAGCGTGGAATCTGGGTCCTAGATGGCTGAAGTGATTGACTCCCCTTTCTCCCTGTAGAGCAAGAGATACAGATGAAAGGAGCAGGGAGGGGTGGGCAGCAGGGAAAATGCTGCAAATGCGTCCTGCCTGGTGTGTCATACTGTTTTCTTGGGACCATGAACACCCTAACTCTGGGGTGTTTGCTCTTCTTAGCACAAGATACTGGCATTTATCTTTTTTTTTTTAAAAAAAGAAACCTACTATTTCAAAGCTTCTTTGGTGGATACAACACCATATCATCCTAGGGTATTTGAGTCTTAAAAATCACGTGCTTCTACTCCTTCCCAGTCTTGCATGATGCAGTCACCTCAGGCCATGCCTGGGCTCAGACCTCTGATCCAGTGGCACGAGAGAATGAGGGCCGTGGTGCTGGGGTTCACAGTGCCTTTGACACTCTCTGGCCCTGTTCTTCCTCTCCTCTCCCACTTAGGAGTGTGTGCTGCTTCCCCTGGAGGCACAGCTATAACCACACAGAAGGGAAGAAAAGGAACTCATCTAGTGGGCTGACAAAGGAGGGCTCTGGCCCTGCAGAGCATGAGGGACAGTCTCCCAGAAGGTTCTCGAACCACGTGTGAGCCCAAAGACAGCTGCTCTAAGTTATATGGAGGTATTTGCAGGGGCTCTAGAATGCAGGGACAAGGTGCCCCCGCTTTTGTAGTGCTAGGCCCTGAACCTGTAGCCTTTGCACTGTGCTACAACCCAAGCCCTTTAAAAAGATGTTTTATTTTGACATAGTCCTGCTGAGTTGTCCAGGCTGGGCTTGAACTTGGGGTTGTCCTCTGGAGTGCTGGGATGACAGCTGTGTGCCAGACATTTAGAAACACTTATATGGGACCAGAAGTTGAATGTCTGTGTATACAGTGCTTTCATCCCAACTCCCTTCTTTAATTACTTTCCTTCCATTCACAGAGGCTTTGTGTGAAGTTTGTGTGTGTGTGTGTGTGTGTGTGTGTGTGTGTGTGTAAAAAGAGATAAAATTCCGAGCCAAAACATGATATAGGAATACTGTGCTCTCAAATGTGCTTTCCAATAATTCATTTATTGAGCAAAGGTTTATAAACATTTATTATATGCCTAAGGATATAGTAGTGAAAATAATGGATGTATCTACTGCCTACCGGGGGCTTATTAATCAAAGAATTACACAGATAAATGTATAATTTCAAACTCTGCTCCATGCTGGATAGGAGAAACAGAGTGTGAAAGAGGATATTATTGCAGATGAGGGGCTTTCCTGAGAAAGTGATATTTGATCCTGGACCTAGAAGATGAAAAGGGGTTTAAGAGGCGAAGCAACTTGGAGCTGAGAGGAGGGGAAAACCAGCCCCGATGGAGGGTAGGACCAAGTGCTTTTGTCAGGGCTACCTGGTGGAAGTAGACGTAATTTTCTGGGGCACTTCCATGAAACTCCTACATCAGAGGCATTAGAAGCCTGAGGTTGGGTGGGTTCACTCCTGAAATTAGCGAGGAAGGATTTCGTCATTGCATGTCCCCCCATACTGAGGCCAGAGGAAACAGAGCCGTGCTATTTTGAGAGTTAAACTTCACAGCTCATTGTCAAGCTGTTCACATACATGAGCTGGAGTTAGTTTGTACCTCAGTTTCCTCAGGCTTCGTATGGGGCATTAGTTCCGCCCCTCTTTTGAGCTGGCTGTGTGCATTATGATGGCGAAAGTCCTTTGAAATAGGAGAAGAGATAAGAAGAGACACACGTGTGTAAAAGACATGGTGTCCATATGAAGAACTGGACATGCCAAAGAGGGGTTTGCCTCCCAGTTAGGTCCACTGGGATCTCTTCTTCCAACAAATAAGCTCCATAGAGGGGGACTCAGAGAAAAGTTCTGAGGATGAGATTTGCAAGAGTCAGATCTATCTAAAGGTGAAATAACTATCAGGGATAGGTAAAAAGCCCCTGATTATTGAATACGAACAACAACAAAAAACACAACGGGCACCACCTGGGAGAGCTGTGATAGAAAGGTCCCAATCATCAGATTAGATGCTGGGCCAGCTAATTTTCTATTTCCTAACAACTCAGAGAGACACGGATTCTAGAATCTGGTATTTGAATGCTGCCTCCCCTTTCTGGACTTCCCACTCTTACCTTCAGTCTGTGGGATGGTTTGGATCAGATCCCATTTAGGGAGGGGAATGGGAGGTAGGTTGTGATGTGATATCCTGGATGAGGTTGGAAAACAAATTTTCCTCGTAGAGCTGGAATTAGTATCATCTAAGTGCTAAATGCAAGTCCTTCATAGGAAAGGTCAGAAGTTACAATGGAAGAGCCAGGAAACAGTTGCTATAGCAAAATACCCATGCGAGGTAATGTACAAAGAGTTCTATTTTGCACAGAGTTTGGAGGTCCTAGAACACGGGGCTGATATCTGCTCTGCCCTGGTGAGGGCCTCCATGTCCGCATGGCAGATGGCATTATGGCAGGAGTGTTTGTGAGAGGAGTGATCTCACGGCACGGTTGGATGTCAGAGAACTTCAGGGATCAGGCTTGCTCTTTTTAGACAACCCATCCTACAAGCTGACTTACACCTGGAGATCAGTATAGATTCCCTTCAAGAGCAGTGGCCCCCAAGAACCTAATTATCTTGCACTCAAGGTTCCATCTTCTAAAGGTTCCACTGGCTCCTAACACTGCCACAGGAAGGGCCAAGCTTCCAACACAGGAAATCTTGGGGCAGCACTCAAACCTGACCCAAACCAAAGCAGTGGATAAAAGTGAAGCATTTGGGAAAGTGGAGGGAGGGGCCCAGACCAGGGAACAGAGAGGCAGAGAGACAGAGAGGCACGGTGTGGCCAGGGGCAGATGCAGGCAGAGCCTCTGAACACCAGCAGAGGCCTTGGAGGTCTGTGTCTCACCCTCAGCTGCTCTGGACGGCAGGTTGGCCCAGGATGCAGAGCACCCAGACCTGGCTCATCCGGGGTATACAGTCTGCTTGGATGGTTTCCTGTCCTGCCTAGCAGTTACTTAAGGACAGCCCAGAGTATTTCTGATGATCCAGAGGTGAACTTTCACAGGCAACACAGGGCCCAGCAAATTCAGGGAGAATGGCAGAGGACCAGGCCTTGGCCTTACTTCAGTCTCAGAGCCAACCTTCTGGGGGATTCACTTACCTAACTCCCCGAGCTGGGCTCTGTGTGGAGCCTCTCCTCCCATCCTCATAAGAGTGGTAGCAAAACTCTGAGATGTCAGCTGCTTTTTGTTTTTGTCTGAGTTTTACCATTGGTGAAGCTGAGCTGCTGTGAGTATGAAATTGATGGTAAAAAGCCATTTGGCTCCGCAGTGGCTGAGGTGGGCACCAAGCTCAAACCAGCCTGATGCTGAGGCTGCTGCTCCAACCAAGTTGGACCTGGAGCATTTGGACCTTAAGAGTGTCAGTGCCGAAAAGTGCTCAGACACTTGAGATGCTCTCTCCAAACTGCATGCTTCATAGAGGAGAACACTGTGGCCTGCAGAGGAAATGGATGGCTTTTCTCAAAGTTTTACATTTGGAGCAAGCAACAGGGGTGAAGTTGGAAAGCTGGGGGCCTCCCTCCTCTCTTCTCCTCCCCTCCCCTTCCTTCCCCTCACCCTGTCCCCCCCAGTTGCAGAGAGATTCTGGCACCCTGCCCTCGTTCCATCTCTAATAACTGAGTAAACCTTCAGTTCTCCATTTCCTCTGCATACATTTGAGTCCTTGAGCTTGGCTTGCTCCTGGGCTCAGGTGGTATTATTATCAGGATTAATTACAAGGCTGGGGAGAGGGCTGGGCCTTTCCTTGGGAAAAAAGGCCACTTAAAATACACAATTAACATTATTATTTTTAAGTGTCTTGATCTATTTGTAACCTGGACCCCTTAGAATGATATTAAAAAAAAATAGAGAAATGATCCAGAATTTAGCCTGCAATTCTTCTTGCCATTTTCTGATCAGCATAAAGCATATTGAGTTTTCTAAGTGCTCATATACCTGGGTAATGGGAGCAATTTGCGACTTAAATTGAAACCTTGCAGATCAATTATCAGGAACTGGAGCAAGCGTTTTCTCCTAATCCTCCCAAAAATTATTCTTCAGAAAGACACCTGGCTGCTCACTGCATGCCATCATCAAACCAGAATTGAGCTCCAGTAGTGGCTGAAAAAGGGAAGGAAAAAAATGTGATTTCAAAAGCTATAAATCTTCAGAGATATATGATCCTATATTTTCAAGATCGAAACAAGCTTTTGGAATTTAAAGAGCTTAGGAAAGCAAAATTTTACTCAAATTCACTCCTTTACGGAACAAATCATGGGAAGCAAAAATCCTACTTCTTTGGGTGACACTTTATTTTCTAGTTTTGTATTTCTAGAGTCTTAGGGTACAGGTAGGGATATTTCATAACAGAATAGTAAAAAAGGAATTAAAAAGTTTTCAGGTACAGTGACTGTCAAATCCTGACTGCTCATCAACATTTCTGGGGACACTTCCAAGAGCCACAGATGCCCGGGTCCTACTCCTAGAGATTCTGAATCAAGATCTGGGTTGAAGTTCAACACCTGTGTGATTTAAATGAACCCTAGGTAACACTATATGGCGTGATGTGAGGATTAAATGGAATTAATAAGGACAAGCTCTTAGGATAGGACTTGGAACCTAGATGTGCAATCATGGTGTCTTTTTCCCCGTCTCCTCGTCTAGTCCCCTCTGTACCTTCTATATCCCTATTTCCCATATTCCTAGTCCCTTCTGTCTCCCCCAGGTTCCTGATGGGCAAATAAATAAAAACCTTTCCAAATCCATACAAGTGCCTGTTACACTGTCCTGTCCGTGTGTGCATGGGTTTCCGTATGATCTCCAGAGGCAGGCAGCTGGGTTGCAAGAGTGGCCCATGAGTTTTTGCTGAGTGCAGAGTGTTTGTCCTTTGCCCATGAGGGTGCTTTCTTGGTGCATTCACTGACGGTCCTGCGGCTGTTCAGTCTGCAAGTGCAGTCTGTCCTAGGCTGGTGATAGGGGGCTGAGTAAGGGGAGGGAGGCTTGCACGGGGAGCGAAGCAGAAAAGTCATTTCAGGTAGAAGCCCGGCATATGGGCTGGGTTCCATATGCTCTGTGAGGATGTGGTGGGCAGCCCGAGTCCAGTATGTTGGACCAAGGCAGAGTGTGTGCAGTTTGTTGGTCCTCACGTGTCTTCTCTTGCTACACTCAGGACCTTGGGTCTTGTAGCTACTGTGTTTTGGGTGTGTGGGAGTCAGGGGCCTCATACTGGAGACTTCTTTTTTGTGATATTGAGGCCTTGTACTAAGCTACATTCACAGCCCTTTTTAACGTTTTTATTGTTTGATTTTGAGACAATGTCTTGATAAACTGCTAAACTGTCCAGGCTGGGATTGAATTTGCATTCCCCCTGCCTCAGTCTCCCAGTGCACCAATACTACAAGTGTGCTCTACCACTCCTGGCTTGGAGGGTTCTTTTGCAGCATGTGCTTGGGCTCTATCTCTGAGAGGGCAACCAGGGAAGTCCATGTGAAAAGGTCTTGTTTTATCATGGCTGTTCTTAAGAGCAGAGGTGTACAAAGCAAGGTTGCCCATTCTTGGATTAAAAACCCTACTGCAATTGGATATGTTTATTTTCACGATTGTTATGAGGTCTCAGCTGGGCAGCTGCAAGGGCCCAAAGAGACGTTACCTGGCCTCTTGAAACAGCTTAAGAACTTCCTTGAGTAGCTGGCTGACCTTGAACCAGCCCTCAGTGTCCTTCTTCCTGTATCAGCCTAGGGATCCTTCTTGGAATTGCTTTGTTACAACTCACACCAAACATATTTCTTTGGTGATTTGCTTGCCTTTGTGGTTAAGGAGTGGCTTTGATTCTACCTTGGGTTTTTGAGAAACCAAGGAACCTTGGAATTCTATCCAAATATGTCTGACTTTTTACTCAAGATGAGCTTTAATTGACCATAGAAATAAAAAGTTCTAATAAGGATGGATATTGGAAAGACATACATCAATTATTTTATTTCCTTATTACTGTTAGTATTGGAATTAACCTCTTGCAAATGAAGAGTTTTGGCATTGGAAAAAAATTATGGGTCACTTCTGAGATTAACACCCCTAATACGGTACTCTCAAGACCTTGAGAGCTTTCCATCAATACTCTGCCAATAGAAGTCTGTGGCCCTCCAGGGTGAAATTGCCTGGGCTGGGAGAGTAATTTGATCTTGGAGTGACTTTAATCAATGTGCTTCTGTTAGGCAAATATTTCCAATTTTTCAGCAGATTTGTTTGCTGTGTAAATTTCTTTTCTCTGCCAATACACTGAGCTTGTCCCATTAATTTCCACAGGTGGGATGGGGTTTTTGGCTTCCCTGGGTTACCTTGCAGTGTGTTGGGAACTAGAAGGATGGAATTTCATGAGCATTTGCAGCCAGCTGCTGAGCACCTGGGGCAACATTTGCAATGACTTGAGGGTGACCACCCTCTAACACTGAGTGCCTCCCACGTTGCTAAGGAAGGCTCAGTTGCCTGAGGTTTACTTTGGATGCATTTTTAATCTTAGCAGTTGGCACAGACAGGAAAGACTGAGTAAGGAATGAAATATCTGTGCACTGAAGATGTTCCACATGGGGAAACTTTCTGGAATGCACTCTGCTGAAGACTGCTGGCAGCAGCGGTGATGATCTGTGCTTGGTTCCTACATCAGAAGCTGCCAAGAGAGCAGTTTAAGATTCTGAAGCTTGTGCTTCTTTCTGGGTCACTTACAAATATTTGGGGTCTCTTTTCAAGTTACAGAAACAGATTGCATAAAATTTGCTCAAGGGGAAGCATTGGCATCATTTGGTGGCATTCTTAGCCACTCAACTATTAGACCTCAGCAGAGTCAAATTCCCTTTGAATGTATCTTTTAATTTATATTGCAAAGAGACAAGTGAGAAACCAAATGCATGGAGAGAATCAGACACAACAGCAATTGTGCACACATATTTCCACATGGCACATGGACACAGTCACACTCAGCCCTGGAAGCCAGCCTGCTGATGGCTGGGCTCTGTTTAGTCAGCTCTGTCTTTTCCTGATAATTCTGCTGATGACAGGAAATGTTCCTCCACCCCTTACCCCAAGTTACTCTTTCAGATTTTTCCCATTTTTAAGGCTTAGCCCAAATGCCAGTCTTGGTCCACCCAAGGCTGTCATTTTTGCATTTCTCTTGGAGTGCTTGGCTCTTGGAGTGGTTGCCTCATCCCACTGTCTTTGCTGGCTCTTCTGAAAACAGGGACACTGTGTGAATTGATCCTCAGCTCCTGGCTCTGTGTTGGGCACAGGGATGCAGTGGGCTGCCCCCATAGCTATGGACATGAGCTCTAGCCATGTTGGCTTAGCCACTAGCCTGCATAC